TGCATTATTGATTTCAGGTCATACAAGATCATGGGAGAAGGGTCATCCTGGATTACGAACAAAATGTTATACTCAAGGTTTACCAAATGGAGAAACTGGTCCATTTGATCCCACAAATAAGACCACAATGGAATTTCTGACATCGTTTTTCAATGAAACTACTCTAAGATTTCAGGAGAGATTTATTCACTTGGGTGGTGGTGATATATCGTTTGAATGTTGGTGAGTTTTCTGATCATCCATTCTTGAATGAGTATTGATTTTGTCATAAGTTCATAGGTACACGATGAAGGAAACATTCGGATATTGATGATTTTCTTGGGTATTGAAATAAATATTTTCGTGCAATGGTTGAGGTTGGATGAAATGTTGATATTCCGCTCCCTTAGTTCAGTGAATGGGCAGGCGATTCATCGTCGAATGTTGGCCAAAGTGCAAACTTGACTGATAGAATTCAATCTGCGTCGAAGAAGGGATTATACACATCATACTATTTACTAGTGCTTAATCAAAGTTTATCAGTAACTAGAAATCGGTGAATCCATTCAGTTTCCTGTAATTGCCACCTAAATGGCATCCAACGATGCTCGGTGATAATCGAAAACCCCTGGTGGTGTTCATTCAGGGTTAGGCATACGACATTGCTAGATATAATCCAATACACTGGAAGTTCATGTTCATTTCTATGCATTAATGGAAAATCTCACCTTTTGATTGCTTTAATATGAATTGCGAAATGTGAGCATATCCTCAACCTTCAGAGTTATTTAGCAGAATACCTTTCAGACACCACATTATATCTGTAAGTACAATAACAAGCATCATTGGTATTTTTATCAGTCTGCTTGATTTTATCATTTGTGATGTCTAAAATAGACGACACACATATCTAAGCGTAGCACCCAACCAGTCTGAATTATATCACTCATGTATCGATGACAATTTCACTATATCTGAAAGTGTAGAGAAGACGAAATATGTTCGTTGCATTTTCATAAACTATCTCCACTCCATTCACCTCAATGTAATTAGGCAACTCATGGAAAGACAAGCAAATAGTTGTTGGGGAACACTCATGAGTAAATCTACCTCTAGGAAACTTATTTACAATTGACCACCTATTGACTTATAAATGTGACTACTTTTTTGCCGAGAACATTATGGGATTTATATTTACTAAGATATTTGTAACCGTGTCCATTTAATCAGGCAATCAAATCCTGAGATTTTGGATTTTATGAAGACGGAGGGTTTTGGCGACGACTTCGGAAAACTCGAATCATATTATTTTGAAAAACTAATCAAAGCTATTCAATCTGTTCAACGGGAAAAGGGTTCTATCACACCCGTTGTTTGGGAGGACACATCCCAAAATGGCTATCGTGTGAGTGGATCATTATATTCTTTTTTAGAATATTATCTCTTTGTGATTTATGATAAATACATTCTCGTCTCTTTAGATTACCTACTCTCTGTGGATTGTTCATCATAAGTCTTAAGTACCTCGTATTAAGACATTGCTGCATGACAAGTAATCCACAATGGGAAACTCACAGAATCCTTCGAAATGAAGACAGGAGTAAGACAAGCTGGCTGGCGGCCTACTATCTTCAATAAATTTCCTGATTGTGGGTGGTGGACTGGATAATGCACCAGACAGAGGCGATTAGGGCGGAAACAAGCAAACTGACCAGTGATATCGGCTGTTTGTCGGCAGGGGATTGAATCGCGGGCCATGTGCATGGTAAGCGAGAGTCCTAACCACTGTTCCACCGACGCGCAATGAACTCACACAAAAAACTAGAGGATCTGAACTTCGCCGATGATATTTGTCTGATTTCACACAAACTAGAAGATGTTCAAGTGAAAATGAACAAGTTGGTGATAGAAGAATCAGCCAGAGAATGTAGGCATTCAGGTGAACTTAGAGAAGAGAGAATTGGGTGATGAATGTTCTTGGCCAACAGCCACAGCAACAACAACAGGCAACAATCATCCAACATGTGAAATCAGTGCTACTTATTATACTGATCAGAGATATGAACAGTGCATCACGAAGGGGACTTCGAACCAACTACACACATTCATCAACAGCTAGCTGTCTTCGCTCAAAAATACTCAAGATCAAATGGCCGGTTGGAAAAGGTCAGCGACATGGATGTCTGGGAGCGAACCAACCAACCAAGAACTCATTGTACAACAAATCTGTGTGAGGAAGTAGAGATGGATTGGCCATACTCTGAGAAAACAAACCATCAGTTGACATCACACGTAAGGACCCGATGGGGAAGCGATGGGTTGATCGTCAGTGAGACGGTAATATGGAGGAGGTGTTGTGAAGAGGCGATGAAAGCATGCGGGCAGACACGGATTCATCTGAAGACATTGGTGGAGAACCGAGCTCAATGAAGGCGTTTGGCTGAAGCCCTAAGTTTCTCAATGAATTATAGGAAACAATAATAGTGTAATAAGAATTGTCTAAATTATATTGTGTTTCATAGTTGTTCACCATATCCTTTCCGACTGCGCATTCGAAGTATTTTGTTCACAAAAATTCGATTTGTTATACATAGTTATGTTCCCTGATAGTATAGTGGTGAGTATCTCCCCGGTAGAGTGCTCGCCAAACACGCAGTTGGTCTGTGGTTAAATCTCCGCCAACGATGCACTCCTTCACTTCACTACGCCAGTAATAAGACTGGTAAAGAATGAAGGTTGGGCATGAAGCGGTTAGCAAACCCATCCTGTAGAAATAATCATCACTGCTACAGAAATTTCAAGCCTCTAGCTTGAAGCCCTATGTTTTCGTCGGAACTTAAATGAATGGGATAATGCATAGCTACATGAAGCACTTGAATCTCAGTCTTAGTTTAGATGTTCCATGATGACAAACGGGTTAAGTATGTTTGTGAATTTTGAGGAGTGAAACTATGTGTCTTAGGAACAAATTGGTTCCCTGTTCACACTGCTGTCTGTCTATCTGTTTTCGACATAGGACTTTGCACCATTATGCAGCAGTTCGAGAAGCTACACTCCATGTAGCAAACGAAGCAGGAGAAGAAAGTAGAATAAATGCATAATAGAGACAGTTGACAGGATTATGAGAAAAAAGGGATGGTAATATCAAAGAACAATATAGTTCCATAGGAGATAATAAGTGACAAGGAGTGGATGCATCTGCAACAGCCAGTGACAATGAGGATTTTGAGCCATATGACCAGCCATATCTCCATATCTCCAGCCATCATTGGATTTTACAATCCCGAGGAGTCCATCCAGTCAGTTTGTCATCGATACTGAATTGAAATATATTTGTATAAATTCACCTTCTTGTGTATTATTTATTGTGTATAGAGTTTGCATTAAATATCTTTGAATTTTGTTTTTTCTGATGACTTCTGTGTGTCACATACTTTGTGATTGTGTTCTCTAGGTTCTCGTCTGGTTAGCTTGAAGTAGTGTCTTTCTAAAGCTTATTTGATACCCTATAAACCTACATCCACTCGATCTTCTCGAATATGTTTTGAATAAGTCACGGTTGCACATTATTCACACTGAGATGAAGTCTGTTTGAAATTTAGTGTGCACATTGCCATAGGATAGCCTTGTACTTGTATACGCTGACGATAATCACCATGGGATTAAATACCTGGATATCTTGCAAGCAGTTTTCTGCAGTCTAAGTCATTTCAGTGGGCGCTTCTCGAAGTAACAGGTTGAAGATATCAGGTCATTGTTCTCAGAATTTCAGGTTCATTTCTACTGGTCTCTTGTGCTGCGATCGTTCTGAAAAATGTATTGACTGTTACTGAAAAAATTATCAATATATTCCTTTATAACAGGACAATCGTTTATTTGAATTTCACTGAAGCTCATAATTTTTGGATATGAGGTGAACTATAGGAAATGGTGAAGTATGCTCAGGCGATTATTAATCAAGTGAAGGGAGAGCAGTTTTTGAATTGACCAATGTCATCATTGTCATCGGTGGTAAATCCATCCTCATACTTGACTGGTTGAACCTCACTGGTCACTACGTCTCACCAGAACTCCAGGAAACTCAGTCCTGTAGCAAACCACTGGGGTCCTAGTAGGAAGTCGTGACCAGTGAGATCCATTCAGACAAGTGTGAGATTGAATATCTCACCGATGACATTGGTTAGTCGTCGCGCTAAATCACATATTAGTAGAAGTTAGAATTCATGGTCATGTCATTGAATGAAATCCCAGTGGCTGAATTGTATGCGAGGTAGCTTGCCCTTTCACCGGAAGGTCCTGGGTTTACTGTCAATGATTCCCAAGCTAGGATGAAACGGCTGTCCAGTACTCCCTGGTTTTCCAATACTTATCTAACTGATATCAATCCGTGGTCAAGCTCGTAAAAGCAGTCTCTTCACACAAAAACCCTAAAGATTGTCGGATCTGTGCCTATTCAATTACTCTTAGTTCCTTTATTGTTAACATCTGAAGTATGAGAGCAATGAGAATCACAAAGGCTTGCATGCATCTCCTTTCACTAGAAGAAATATTCAATAGGTTGCAAATGTCGTCTTTATTTCGTACAGAACTGAGGACAAAAATGGTTGAAAAAGTATTAAAGAACTTTTCGATTTTATTGCGACGCGGAAGATGTTGAGTGAGGGAACTCAGTTTCATCCACTCCTGATTAAAGCGTTTGATATCTCTACTTTCTAAGAATGGAGAGAAGGGTGCATATCTGCTCCATATAAATACTTCCAGAGCTGATGTGTCATCTTCACTTCATTGTTTTGAATTTAAATAACTTTATCATCAAATCTTACAAAATGAACCAATCAAAATAAATTCAGAATTTATTTTTATGCTAATGACTCATCGAAATTTTGTCATTTAGCCGAATGTCCAGAATCCTGTGTTCCAAGTATGGGATGATTCGAACAGGCAAGAACGTGTAAAGAACATAACATCAGCTGGCTATCGAGTTATACTTTCATCATGTTTTCTTATCTCGGCCAAAAATTATGTGGGGCATTGGTATTCATACTACGAATGTGATCCAAGAGACTTCGAAGGTAAGATCCTATCAACTATGTGAATCATGTTTCTATTTTGAGTATTCTGTGTGACCTCTCACTCCATCTTTGTATCACATTATTGCTGTTAATAAACGTTGACTGCCGAAAAATCTAGTTACCATATGTCACCATGAAGATGCGCCACACAATAATGATAAGACAACATAGATTAAAAGTAAAAATATGAGTATAAAACGGATCAAGAACTTCATCTGGAAGGAAAACAGTCAGAAGGAAATTGCAGCACGTTCGTCATTGAATACGATTCTTGCCCATATCCGATAAAGTTTTGAGCCATCAATTCAGAATATTTCGCGGACCCTAACCAGGGAGTCGTGATGCACCACGACTCCACGTCTAGGACTGATCAAACCTCCGCTTTTTCCATCCTGTCCCAGGGCTAGCCGACAGAGACCTGTAAGGAGGCCTCTGGGATGACATTCGCAGCATATGTCTAAGACAGCGGAGCTGGTGTTTCCAGATGACGACACTCAATGAACAGGGATCCCCACTGTGTTCAAACACACGCCGCCGAATTTTAGAGTCACTCACGCGATGATGCCATCGAACGCAATCCATCCTGGGGAGACAGCGATGGTCAAACACGCAGAGCCGCCAGCCACAACTGCTACCTTCCCGTGGTGGTTGTCCTTGAATACCGCAGTAGGCCGACAAGCTAAACTGGCTGGGACTCATGTGCCTGCTGGCTCTACTATTTCAGGAAGGTTGTTGGGATAGCAGTTAGACTAACAGCAGTTACCATGGGTTACATTGGCTTCAGAATCCAATCCGATCAAATGGCGTATGAACCCATATTGGACACCGGGAACCATGGGAATGCAGCTCCTGACGCTGCTCCGCTGCCTTGTGGACGGGACTTCAAATCAAAAGCACGGGGAGTGGCCCCTTAGGAAAAACACCTGCTTCGGTCGGGGCAGCCGGGCAGTAATTCAGCCCTCACAAAATAAATGAAGTGAACCAACAAACTATCAGGTGGACTGCAGTTAACTTCCACACTGCCTTTGCTATATCCCATTCTACTTTAGTTAAAATGGAGTTGTAAAAGTAAGAATGCAGATCGACGCAATGGTTTCCACTCACTAGTGTCATCCATCGTCAGACTAAGGTGTATTATTGATTTCAGAGAAGCATTACATCCCTCTATACTCTGTAGCTTCAGAATCGACGTTGTTGTTTCCTGTCAAGAATCGCTAGTCTGACTGATGTACAACGTTATTTCTTTTGTGGTTTGGGGCTGGCTAGTCAACAGGCTGTGAAAAATTGGGAAATCTAATAAAGACTCGGACTTCTTATATGTACGTTGATACTGCTTACACATCAGTGAAATTATTGTAAATCACCAATGATCTTTACAACCTATGCGCCCTAATTATCCCGATATTGAACGCCTTGTTGTTCATAACTGAGTACATCTGCCTATATGGTCGTCATTCACGTGAAGGAGGCATTTTTGTGTGTCGAGTAATTACATTTATGAAACAATTGCACAAAAGCTGTAGAAGAGGGTTACAGAGGATACCTTCATCTCACATGTCATCAAAATAGCTCTCAGTTTTAGGTTGGAGTATCAACAGAGTATAATCCCATTGTGTGTAAAATCGATTTTGATGAAATGTCATTGTGTAATACACAAATGTTTCCTGAGCAATAGATTGTGCTTAAAACTTCATCAGTAAATATTACTGTACAACACTGTGAGACTTTATCAGAATAAATTTTACCCACAATGGGATTGTACTCAACCACAGTGCACAAGTTCTATTCATATACTAACAGAGTAATATAACCACATTCTATGAACGTAATTACTTGGGTCTTCTAACCCTGACAATAATCCTGATCTTTCCTGAACCTAACACTTACGGGAAAATATCCCTAATTTAACTGTAATCTAACTCGAAGCAACGCTAATATCGCCTTTATTAGGTTAACCTAACCCTAACAGATCTTTGTCTCAAAGCGTAACTTAATCTTTCCCAAACCTAAGCTGGAAATTCCAAAATATCCCATTAAATAACAAAGTACTGCGATTGGCACATTCTACTGATGATGACAGCATTATTTTCCAGGTTTTACTAACTTGCTCAGTAAGTGTTTTAAAGTCGCCGCTGCGGTCGTACTCTATTGGTAGTTAGTGGTGTCTAAAGTGTCACTTAGCCGTAAATTGTAAAGCAACTGAAACGAGTTACATTAAAATTTTTAATTCTCGATGCATAACAGACTACACGTTAGTCACCTAATAATGCAAAAGTCGATCAGTTGACTAGATCATTCATTTGCTAATAGCTAATATCAGTTACTGATTTCTAGCATAACAAAGAGTTGTGTGGCATCTTTCTGCAAATCACGATATACTTGTTCAGGAATATACTTCATTCCCTTGATTTATATTTATGAGAAATAGGCTTGTTTCACACGGAACTCAAAAACATTCCCACAAACTAATCCTCCACATTTGATTGACTATTCAAGGATCAGATGATGAGAAGCAATTGGTTATCGGAGGTGAAGCTGTTCTCACTGGCGATTTTGTGGATGAAACGATTCTCTTCACGCGTTCATGGTGAGTTATTTACTGTACACCTTTCCAGTTAGAGGAAAATTCACCATTCATGTATACGTTATATGATGAATGCATTTATTTCCTCATTCTTGTAATATACTGATAACTGAATGAAATAAGGTAGTTTAGTACTACTACTGACTACCCTCAGTTTGACCTTGTTATTACCGATATTCGCCAAGGTCATTTGAAACTCGTGTTTCGCCCACGATGGGTGGTCTAAGGGTAGATACTCGGCCACCGACGTACTCCTTCGTCTCACTAAACCAGTAGTAAGACTTGTAAAGAGGGAAAGTTAGGCATGAGGTGGCTAGAAACCCCATCCTTTAAAAATAATCACCACTGCCACAGAAACGTGAAGCCTCTAGCTTGAAGCTCTTTGTTCCACTGGGGACGTAAAAGAATAAAAAAGAAAGTGAGAATCACTCAACCAAAGTTATCCGATTGGTGCAAATCACTTGCATTTGAATGAATTCTAGTTTATTCTACAGATTTCAGAGGCTATTGACAAGAAGAGTGTTGAGGTCATGTTCACATAACAAATGGAATCGATATCAATTAGCTTCAAATTCTTATCAACACATATAATATATCTTGGATTCTTTACCATCCGCTTAGTATATTTCAGAGTTCATTGAAAGTTGTTGACCAATAAGAATTTTTCTTCTTCATGATTTCAATAAAATTAGCACATAAATGCTGAGCAGTATCCACAGAAGCAGTTGAAGTTGACCAGTACACTTTTCATCCATATTGGTCATATAATCGAAAGTTACTTAGTCATATTTTGTATTCCTTTACGTTCCCAGTGGAACATAGACCTTCCTGTAGCCTCATAGCTAACCTTCTCTCTTTGCCAGTCTTACTACTGACTTGGAGAGGTGAAGGAGTGCATCGACCGGGTATGGAAATCCGTACCACCTCTCGTGATTGGCGAGAAATCTATCTCTGTGCTGCTGACGCACGACTCAGTCAAATGAAAAGGAAATTTTAACGAAATCTGTGCGCCGTATTCCTTGAACTATACATAATCTTCCTTTTTTCATTTATTCCTTCATTCATATTCAGATAGGCCTGATGGTGCAGCTATAGCTGAACGTCTTTGGTCACAAGGTGAACTGAAAATTGATGAATTTATACCACGATTGAATGAACTGCGTTGCCGCATGTTAGAGTAAGTTCATGTACTATTGTGATGATGAAGGTATTCTCAGATTTGCATTTCCTTTATAATTTATGGTTATTGAATGTCAACATTTTCGTGGAAATTCAAACCCTCCTGTTTGCGTGGTGAATATCAACAAACCAGATAAAAAGTTGTCGACATTGGAATAGACATCACAATACCTGGAATTCATCTTCTACAGTCAACGATGGGATGGAAATAATTAATTACGAAGATGTTTTATGTATTTATTCAACCGATCATCCACTCTGAGCAATCGGTTTCAAAAGCTGAACAGTCATCTGAAATTGAGAAAATCATGATTAATGATTGGCGCTGAACCTCTTTAATTGCCTGGATTTTGATACTTACTATACTTCATATGTGCGTCGGTTGGACAGTTGTAGAGTGCTCGCCGACCACGAAAGGTGGTCCGGTGTTCTCTCCCCAGTCACCGACTCACTCGTTTACCTCACTAAGCCAGTAGTAAGACTGGTAAAGAGAGAAGGTTGGATATGAGGCTAGTAAACCCATTCGTTATAAGTAATCACCACAGCTACCGAAACTTCAGGTCTCTAGCTTAAAGCCCAATGCTCCCCTGGGATCGTAAAAGAATAGAAAAGCACTTCATATAGAAAGCAAATATAAGGGATTTTTATTTCCAGAACATTTGACTCATACTACGTAGTTTATTTTCTTCTCCTGAGAAATTCAGACATGATGAATATGAAGAATTGGACTACAGTTCATTAAATTGACACAAACACGATACTCATCATGAGCTGACATCAATTAGCGAATCCTTTCAAGAACCATTGGCTCGAATCCTATTGGCTCAATGGTCTGCGACCTCGCTAGCCTTGTAACCAGAAGGTCCTGAGTTCGAACCCTGGTGGAAGCTTACTGATGAAGAGTCCCCAGCTAGGATGAAACAGCTGTCCAGTACTCCCAGGTTTTCCAATGGTTCTCTAACTAATGTCAGCTCATGAATAAATCCACTATACAACCGAACAAAATCCTTACAAAATCAATACTTGACAAACATGATACATTCTCTGAGTACACAGTCACTAGTAGTCAGTTTCAAGCAAAATTGATGAAACTTATTTCGTGACCAGCATGCAATTCATGGATACAAAACTATCCTCAGTTAACTCATATCCGTTTTATCCCATCCGTGTGTGTGTGTGTGTGTGTGTGTACCTAAACACCTACGTTTATATTGATTTGGCTACAATCATACTTCACTGGCAAGAAAACCAGCAAGCTACTTAACTAGGCGAGGTCAAAGACGAACTGATGAATAATTCGAAGTAATGAGGAGGTCGAATCATCCTTCATATCGATTCAGAAATCGTTTCTCCTTTTTCCTGTTGTTCATAGTTTCGGATTAAATGCAAAGCCACTGAACGAACCGAAATATTGTTTGCAACTATGAAATTTGCATTTGAATTAACTGGATTTCGAAAATCTAATTCACTATTTCTTTATCAATCTGTGATGAATTATAATCGATAATTTCCAAATATATATACCTTCTGTATGTGCAGTTTTTTAAAATGTGACTTTTTGACCGAAAATTGGTACAGCATCAATTCCCTTCCACAACGTTTTCCACCTAACGATTACACCCTGTGATGAAGCATTTCAAATTAAACTTTCGCCGACCATCCACATGGTCCGGGGTTCGAGCCCGCACCGACGCACACCTGATATGGTCGGCCTGCAAAATTTGGGCTACCGATATCCATTATTGAATTGAATTTTTGATTTTCCCGTCGATTGATTGGTCCAATCAATTTTTTTGTAACCACTGGCAGATCGAATGAAAATGTCAAAGCCAGTTAGAATCGGAAAGACAAGCTACACATTCATCATTCTGAAATCGGATCGGTAGTCTTCTGCTCTCACTCAGCATGCAGAACAAGATTCGGATTTCCAGCACTAGTGTCAAATCACTTCTCCTGTATGGGCCGGAAACTTGGTGTATCACTTAAAGCACTTCTGACGTGTTGTAGAATTTTATCGATAACTGCTATCGCTGGCTCCATACTGAGGATCAAATAGCCAGGCAGCAAGAAAGAATTATCAAGAAGAAACTCTGGCTTAGAACAAACTAGGCAAGAGGTGATTGCTCATTGGGTATGTAAGAGAGAAAGAAGATCGACTGAGCATATGCTGAGGAGGACACTGAATAACATCACGTGTCAGACCATCGCTTGTGTGAAATCCCAATAAGAAGTGACGAGTGAGCCGTCCGAGGGTGACATGGAGGTGACCGCGTAGGGAAGAGGAGGTGACAAATCATGGGCAGCCGTGTGGCCAGGCAGCTGAAGAAGAGAGAAGAAAATAGAACAAAGGGGAGATGTATTGTTGTAGGCCTATGTTCCATTCGGAACCCAAGGGAGCAATAATAAAATAGTGACAGTTATCGAAGTAACTCGAACTAAGATGAATAAAGTGTGAATAGATAAAGAAATAAATCAAGTTTCATATTTCTCTAGATGTTTATTGTGAACTAGAGACCCATTGGATGTAATTTAATGAAAATTTAAATGAGATTCCTCATTTATAGTTTTCACAAGTGGAGATTGTAAATTGGCAGAAGTTAGAATTCAAGGACCATTGGATCGGGTCCCAGTGGCTCAATGGTCTACGACCTCGCTAGCCTTGTAACCAGAAGGTAGTCCTGTAGTCCTCTAGCTAGGAAGCACGTCAGAACATTTCACTCCCTTACATATTAATGCGTATACGATTTCTGGTCGGATTTGAGAAATGCAAACAAACTGCAATATTCTATTTCGCCACATGCAACGTTATGTGTATTGAGGGTGACTATTAGATGGATGGAGGCGATCGACAGGAATTATTGGTGCTAGTTGGCACTCTCTAATCAGCAAGGCGTATCTGCAACCTCGAATGAATTGATATCCCTTCCGAGATTCAAACCCGCGTCACCCAGTGATGTATGCAGTCAGCGACGTTGCCACTGAGCTATTCAGGCTAGCGACTGACCTCCCGTTGGATTGTATTGGATATTTCTGATTGGGCACCAGTCAGTGCCTCGTGTCATGTGTGTTTCTAGTCCTGTCTTTGGTTCAGGCTGAATTCCATCAGTTTGTGATGTGGCCACCATGCCATATGGCTCTCCATCACGGTGCACTGTTATTTGTTGTTATTATCACACAACTGAAATAGGGTCACCATAGATTGAAAATTGGAGAGAATAAAAGAGCCAACTGTTTTGCTAACAACGTAGTAAGCCATCGGTTTCGTGCTTAAGATAATCTCTGTCACATAGGACGAGGTCGAGTCAATTAGGGTATCGCTGAGTTTCTGTGCTCGGTAGTGCGACTATGTAATCGTTTCTTATAACTTCTAGACTTCTACTTGATGAGATGCAAGGTGTTGAGAGTTGAGAATAGAGGATGTGTTGAGAGTCGGCCAATATGGATTAAGACCATTTCTCATATGAGCTTAGGTGTCTGTCGAACACAGTAGTAACAAGCTGACTTATTGGCACGCCACTTACCACACTGCCAAGCTTTAATAACCTTCGTAGTGTGCAATCAAACTCCCTTTTCAATAGCTCAGCAAAGACCGAGTCTGAGGTTTGAAGTGCAAGTACTTGACTGTCTTAACTTCTTGATGTAGTATGTTGAAAGGAACATATTTCTTAGAATTCAACAAGATATGGAGTGACAAAGAAGGGTAGGAGTATAGAAGTACTCCAAGGTACATTACGCTTGACTGAGTTTTTATTCCAGTGCTCAAAATGCAAAATGCATCTTGTGAACGGCCCAGTTCTTGCTGCCCATGTTTACACTCAAACGTGAAGTTAATTGTCAGACATTTCGTGGGGTTTATGATAATAATATTTAACTGCTATCACTGATGGATATCCTACAAAATGGTACTCAGTTTAGAATAGTCACATCACCAGCGTAATTGACGAAGTTGATTTCTCTCGAAATAGGTAAGTCATGTAAGAAGAAAGAATGAAGAAAAGGTGAGAGAAGAACACTCTGAGTGCTCTGACTTCAGTGAGCAAGGCAGAGAAGGATTCATCTTTGTAGACAGTAGACAGCTTTCTGTTCAAATAAATGGGAATGCAACCGGTTAACAGCCTGGGACAGGGTTTGTGTCATGGAAAGTTTATTAAACAAAAGACATCCGGGTACAGAGTGAAAAGCAGAAGTATAATCAAGGAAGTTATACCGGGCATATTTAGTCCCGTTGGTCTGAGTAGGAAGCAGTATTTTGTTGTAAAACAGCAACGGCGTCTAAAGCACATTTCTCCCCGTTTATAAGCTAATTATTTGGGACCAATAAAACTTTTCAAGGAAGGTTCAAATTGAGTAAAATTAATTTCCTCACTAATTTCTGAAAAGAAAAGGTAATTGCAGTAGGTCTAAATTTAAAATTCATCCCAGAGGATGATTTAGACACTGGGATAATTCTAATATCTTTCCATGCAATGGCTACAACATTAATAGAAGTAGAAGCATTGCAATTGTTTGTAAGAGGATGACATAAATGTATATCATCACATCTTCTGAGGTCAACAGCAGGCACACCATCACGACGATAGTTTTGGGAAGATTTCGGAGATTTGAGACATTTCTTAATAGTGCTCACATAGTATCTGAATTACTTTTGATTTCATTGATGACATGTTATGCATTGAACATCAATGTGTTTCTGTGCTTTATGCCAGGCATACTAACCTCAACTGAAGTCACAGTTTGACAGTGTGAGTCTTTAATATTTATGCCGAAGGAGATGTCTATACGTAATGCAGTTCCATCATCGGTATAATAATTTCCAGCTACGTATGTGGTGTGGGCTTCGATCCTCGGCTGACGCACTCCTACACCTGGCTTAGCCTGTAGTAAAGCGAGTGAAGAGGGAAGGTTAGGTGTGAGACTAGCGACCCCACTGCTCAGTGAAAATAAAAGTAATGATACCGAAACTTCAGAGCTCTAGATTGAAGCCCAATGTTACACCTAGGATGTAAAGGAACAAAGTAAAAATTAATCAAATATTGATGAGTGCAATTATTTGATGTGTTCTCGTCTAACGAGATGTTACTGCACTTCGTAACTTTAAAGAGGATTTCAGGTTAATTGTCAACTTTGTAAAAGAAAATAGGGTACACTTGATCAGTTTTGGAGGGGCAAAAGCGCTTCAAGTTATTTGTTTACTAATTATATGGTGGTTAATTGGTGGATGGGCACTAGCAGTGGAATCCAGAATGCGTATTTCGTCCTATTTAGGAATCGCCAGCTGGGTGTACCTGCATTTCTCAGTGACTGATGATGTTGCCACCGAGGCTCGAACCCAGTGCCTTTAGTTTCAAACTCCAAAGCCTTATCCACTGAACCATTTGGGCCACCAGAGCCAGCTCTTGTCCAAAGGGTCATATTAATTAAATGCCTGGACATCACCGAAGTATCTGCACAGGAAGCGAACATGTCAACCTGAGACCGACCATTTCTGTCCAATCAATCGACGGGAAAATCTCAAATTCAATTTAATTATATAGTGGGCCCAAATCTTTTGTAGTTCTATGAAACAAGATAAATCCAGTATCTCATATAATTTTCATATGTCACAATTGGAGTGTTCCAGGAGGAGCAATGGATCCACATTCAACGGAGATATGAATATGTGGAGTTCTGAACAACAAAACTGCACGGTTTTTGTGAAGTGTTACAAATGGAGACATTTTACATAACTTGTGTTTAAAACTACTTCATTGTAAAATACACATAACTTCGGCGTACAAATGGAAATTCGGCGTGTTGTACGTCACTTCGTCTTCTCATTGGTTCCTACTGTACTCCTGCTCTGCAGATACTCGTGTTTTATTTTTAATAATTTGCTGGAATACGTTATCGTCGTCAGAAGACTATTCAATAACTGGTAAAAAAGTTTAACAGTGGACACGACCTCAGCATTGAAACAGATCTGTGGATTAAATCATTCATAGGTGTCAGTGGAACAGCGACAACAACAGACAAAATCAGCGAGCATAAATGGAAGAAATAACATAACAATTTCGCTTTTATTCCAGAAACAGTACTTGTGGTACAGTGTGGAATTTTCAACACATATCTACAATATTGCATCTAATTTCATCGTACATTTAAAAGGAGTATTACAAAAAAATAAATATGAAAAACACAACAAAAATCCAAAAAGGAAACACAGAAATAACAACAAAAAAGCTAATAAAAATACCAAATAGAAAGGAAGATAAACACCGATAATGAAATCTGAAATAAGCTACCTCATTCACCTACCTACCGACCTACGTGAGAAGCATCGTTTCAAATACAGGACAACGGAACTGATGAGGATATCAAAGCAGCGAGGATAGGAAAAGCAAGTCAAGTTATCATTTCTCCCAAGTTTGTGTGGGGGTCAACAGATCTATTCAGCAAGAAAATGAAAATGATATCCGGATTTTAAACTCCAATCTGAAGTCAGTGCTGCTTACTATGCTAATCAGAGATGTGACCAGTGCGTTACTAAGGGGACTTCGAACAAACTACAGACCTTCGTCAACAGCTAGCTGTCCTCGCTCATGAGTACTCAAGATCAGATAGCTGGCCAGAAGGGATAAGCAACAGGGATCTCTGGCAATGAACGAACCAACAACTCCAGTAGGAACCGATTGTGCAACAAATCTGCTGAACAAAATGGAGGTGGACTGACCATACTCAGAGAAAATGGCCATCACGTGACATCACACGCCAGGCTATCGCTACAGTGGGACGTGAATAGGAGCGGCGAGTTGGTCGCCAGTACGAGAGTGATATGGAGGAGATGATATGAAGAGGAGATGAAAGCATGTGGGCGGACGTGAAGCGAGGTGAAAACGCTGGCGGAGAACCGAACGCAATGGATACGTTTGGCTGAAGTCCTATGTTCCTTAAGGACATAAAGGAAAAAATAATAATATTATAGTATTCAGGGGACTATGACTGTATTTTCAACGAACCATTAATTTTCGTACCTTGATATCTGTATTTCTTTTAATACACTGACTCAGTGTTCTTTCTTCATTCACTCGAGTTTTAATTCTGATATTTCGTGCTGTCATCGAGCTCATTGATAAGTCACACAAAAATGTGTCTGAGAATATTTCACTTTGCATAGTATATTCTCATTGGCTAATTCATATCACCTTCATGAAGAATAACGAATGCGTTTGACAAAGCCTACAACTAGATCGCATGTAGACATGTACACGAAAACACATAACAAGACGCATATATAAACACGCTTCAAAACAATCTTCACACTAGACTAGCTAAGACTAAACATCATGTCAATTATCTATTTGTTTAGCTTCATATTACTCATATTTTATTATTTCCCTGTGAACTCATTAGTCCCAAAACCGACTGAATACACGAAAGGTGGTAAAACCTGCAGCCTAAATAAAAATTTAGAAATTGAAAAGGGATATACAGATTGTTCCATTCTGGACGATGCAAAGAAAGAGTTCAGAAAACGTCTTAAAGGGAAAACATCACAACACGTGAATAATGAACAAACTTCTTGCTGTATTGACAAACTGATGATTTCCATCACTAAAGGATGTGACGAATCAAGTGGTGAATTGTGGCCAAGTGAGAAGATGAACGAATCATGTAGGTTCAGTTCGTACTTTTCACAAATTTCATACATAACTAACTCACTAATGAAGACACAATCACCATATCAAATTCGAAGATTGAAATCAAATCTCCTGAAGTGTGGGGAACATTACATGCACTACAGACTGTATTACAATTGGTGCACAGAAATGAATTCGGGACTGTGAGTCGATGACCTCATGATTATTCATGTATTGTAAACCTATTCTATCCAGCTAGTAATAAACGAATCTACAATCGAAGATTCACTCCGCTTCATCCACTGGGGATTTGTAGTTAACAGTGCCGCCCATTTCATCAATGTTGACGTGATGGAGAATTTTCTTGTAAGTCTGCCTTGCATATTGTCATTTTCAACTAACTTGACAATCCCTCAGGATGCGATGGCCTTAGTTAAAATGAATGTATTTCATTGGCACATCACAGATGACAGTTCATTCCCGTACGAATCATCCACATATCCTGAACTCTCTAAAATGGTATTTTCTTTTGTTGCGTTTCACCTCATCAATATTCGCTCCATATAGGGTGCTTATCATCCAGTTAAGTTTGTCTATGGAGAAATGCTTGTTGAGCAGTTACTGGATTATGCTCGTTTACGTGGAATACGTGTTCTGGTGGAATTCGATACTCCGAGTAAGTGAACAGCATACCATTCTGTTGGTGTGTCATGGTGCATCTTTGAAATTCTATCCTCATATTCAATGATCCATGTTATTAGCAACCGTTTGATTCTTCATGAATCTCTGAATGGGGCAATCTTTCATTCATTCGTTCATTCAAATCAGGAGGTTTAGTGCTTTATTATGCAATAAGTATTTCATCTGTAAGAGTCATTCAATCTAAACATTTCTCACCTATGTAATTTGGATTTAAATGTGTTGAGTAGAAATGTTTGAGTAATCCTCTGGCCTTTGCCAATATTTTGCAGTCAGATTGGAAATTTGGATGTCAGGCAGAACTGACTTATTTTCTGTATTATTGATTTCAGGTCATACAAGATCATGGGAAAAGGGTCATCCTGGATTACGAGCAAAGTGTTATACTAAAGGTTCACCGAATGGAGAAACTGGTCCATTTGATCCTACAAATAAGACTACAATGGAATTTCTGAAATCTTTTTTCAATGAAACCACTTTAAGATTTCCAGAGAGACTTATTCACTTAGGTGGTGGTGATATATCGTTTGAATGTTGGTGAGTTTTGTGATCATCCATTCTTGAACGAGTGTTGATTTTGTCATACGCTTTTAGGTACACGATGAAGGGGCCATTCAGATACTGATGGTTTAATTGAGTATTGAAATGAATATTTTCGTGCAATGGTTGAGGTTGGATGAAATGTTGATATTTCGCTCTCATATTTCAGTGAATGAGCAGGAGATCCATCTTCCAATGGCGGCCACATTGCAAAATTGACAGACGAAATTAGGTCTGCATCAAAGAAAGGACTAGCCACGCATATTTAATTAGTTGCTGACAGGTGTCTAATAAAAAATATCCAATACAGTCCTACGGGAGATCAATCGCGAGCCTGAATAGCTCATTGGTTCATCTCTGACTGCAGTGAGCACTGGGTATCGCAGGTTCGAATCGCAGAATACACATGAGTTTCTTGTGAGTGCCAACTAGCGCTAATCCTGGGTGGTCCAAGGCTTCCTGACGATTGCTTCCAAACATCTAATATCATCAAATCAATGTGCACCGTAATGGCTAGCCAGCTGGTGGCATGGTGGCCACATCGCAAACCTGACTGATAGAATTCAGTCTGCAGCAAACGAAGGGACTAGATATATTGCACTAGTTGCTAGTATCCAATCAGTGTTTATCAGTAACTTTGAAATCGGCGAATCCATAAAGTGTCTTCTAATTGCCACCTAAATGACATCCACCGACGCTTGATAATGATCGAAGACTTCTGGTGGTGTTCAGTATGGCATTTGAGTTACTCATCTAACTGTCTTAATACTTGTTAGTCAGGGTTAGGCATGTCAAATTGCTAGGTATAATTCAGTATTCTCGAAGTTCATTTTAATTCTTATGAATTACTGGAAAATCTCATCTCTTGATTACCCTAATATGAATTACGAAATTTGAGCATATTTTCGACCTTCAAAGGTGTTTAGCAGAATACCTTTCAAGCATCATATTGTATCTATTTGTACATCATCAGGCTTCACTGGTACTGTTATCAATCTGTTTAATTTTATAATTTCTGCCGACACACACATCTAAGCATGTTTGCCAAAAAATTTGAATTATACCACTCATATATCGATAACAATTTCACTATATTTGAAAGTGTAGACAAGACGAAATATGTTCGTTGTATTTTCAGAAACTATCTCCACACTATTCACCTGACTGTAACTAAGCAATTCATGTGAAGACAAGCAAAATGTAGTTGGGGAACACTTATGAGGAAATCTTTCTCAAGGAAACTTATTTACAATTGATAATCTATTGACTCATAAATTTGGCTGAGAAGATAATGAGATTTATATTTTCTAAGATATTTGAAACTGTTTACGTTTAATCAGGCAATCAAATCCTGAGATTTTGAAATTCATGAGAATGCAGGGTTATGGCGACGACTTTGGAAAACTCGAATCATATTATTTTGAACAACTTACTGCAGCTATTCAATGTGTTCAACAGAAGTGGGGTTCTATCACAACAGTTGTTTGGGAGGACGCATTCGAGAACGGCTTTCTTGTAGGTGAATCACTTCACCTTTCAGAATACCAACAATTTGTGGTTTTTTGATAAATACTTTTGCGTTCTTTTGATTACGTGATCTCTGTGGATTGTTCGTCATATGTATTTAGTAATTAATAACGCGAATAGTCTATATTATATTTTCTTTCATTTTATTTATTATTTTTGAGCCCTTTAGTTCCAAGACTAACATAAGGCTTCAGGCACACGTCTCTATTGCGTTTGGTTCTCTGCCAACGTCTTCACCTGGCTACATGTCTGCCCACATGCTTTCATCTCCTCTTCACATCGCCTCCTCCAAGTCATCCTAGCACTGACGATCAGCTCTCTGTTTCCGGTTCGGGTTTTACTCAAGGAATGGTCTGATGTGTGACGTCACTTAAAGGTTTTCTCAGAGTATGCACAATTCACCTCCGTGTCTCCCTGAATATTTCTTGGACAACTGGTTCCTTTTTTATTTCAATATTACTGGTCTTTTCTAGATGGCCATCTCAAATTGAGTAGTATTGAGCGAAGACAGCTGTTGATGAAAGTCTCTGGTTTGTTCGAGGTGGCCTTCGTGACGCGGCACCAAGTCTCTGATCTGTAAGATGAGTAGCAGTTACTTCACACTGGAGTTGAAAATCAGGATCTTATTTTCATTTTATTCCTTAGTATGGCTGTTAACCTCCACACAGACTTGAGAGAAATGAAAGCTTGACTTGCTTCCCCTATCCTCGCTTTCATATCCCTGTCAGTTCTGTCCACCTGTAGTTGAAACGATGCTTCCTAGGAAGGTAGGTAGGTAGGTGAAGAAGATCGCTTCTTACAGATTTCTCCCTTTCACGCTGGCTGATTGTTGTCTGTTGTTGTCGTCGGTGTTGCTGTTGGCCAGGAATCGTCATCACCTACTTCTGTTTTCTCATTGTTCACCCGGAGGCCTATCTTTGATGCTTTTTCAACGAACTTGTTGCTTCCCACTTGCATATCTTCCAGTTTGTAGGAAACTAGACATATATGATCAACAAAGTGCAGATCTTTCAAGTTTTTTGTACAGGTCAGTTTTTTACCTGTCTTCTCGTTTGTGCTGTCTGTCGCATTAACCATTCTACCGCAATGAGGAAAATCCTTGAAGATAGTAGGCGACCAGCTTGTGTTACTCCAGTCTTCACTTAAAAGGATTCCGTAAGTTTCCTGTTGTGGATAACTTGGTATGCAGCATTGTTGTATGGCTGTTGAATGAGATGTGCAACTGTTGGTTGCGTTTCATAGTCGTTGCTGGAACTTCAAGTAACATGCTTAAGCTATTGGGTCACTGTTCTCAGAATTTAAGGTTCACTTCCACTGGTCTCTCGTGTTGTGATGATCATTCCGAAACATGTATTGATCGTTAATGAAGAAAATTATCGATGTGTTTCTTGTTAGAAGACAATCATCTGCTTGAATTTAATTGGGGTTCATAATTTTCGGATATGAGGTGAACTGGAGAAAATGGTTAAATGTACTCAGGTGAATATTGATGAGGGGAAGTGAGAGCAGTTATTGAACAGACACTATATTGCGTACTTGTTTTTGTGTGTCTGGTGATGCTTGACAGTAGGTTAAAATATGAGTCTGTTGCATTGGCCTCTCGGACTCGGTTATGCGTCAGACTATGTGGTAGGAGTGAGAAGACAGGAATACTTTAGAACACTGATAAGAAGATGCCAGAAGATCTGGATTTCATGCGTGGATGATTTATGTTTGATGTCACACACACGAAGAAGACTCTCAGACGAATATCAACAAATTGGCTGATGGGGCAGTGAATCAGAAAAAGGGCTGCAGGTGAACACGCAGAAGACGGAGGTGATGAAGATAAACTACGCAACAACAGCGACAATAAACAGCAGCAATCGCAATCAACGGAAGAGATTTAAAAGACGTTATTTCCTTCAAATATCTGAGAAGCATCGTTTCAACCACAGCCGAAACGGGTGCAGATGTCAAAGTCAGGCAGTCAGAATGGGAACAGCAAGATACGCCTTCATCCATCTGAAATCAGTTTGGAAATTTCCTTCACTGACTCAGCATAAACAACAAGATTAGCATTTTGAACACAGATGTGAAGTTGGTTATTTTATACGGGTGAGAAACTTCCGCGCCACGAGAAGGATTTCCAACGGGTTGCCTTTGCTGGCTCTATTAGGCTGTTAGAAAGACTAAGCAACAAGAAACTGTGGGAACAAAACAACAGCGAAGAGCTGATCGCTCAATAAATATGTAGGAGAAAGTGGAGATGCATTGGTCGGCCATACACTGAGGAGGCTGCCGAATGACATCGCACGCCAGGCCATAGTTTGAGTGGAATCCTAATGGGAAGGCATGAGTGTTTCCCCAGTGCAGGGATGACATGGAGGAGAGAGTGTGATGAGTAAGAGATGAGGGAATTCGATTAAACGTGGATCCATCTGAAGAGGACGGCAGAACAGAAGAGAACAATGTGGAGATGTGTTGTTGAAGCCCTATGTGCCACTGAGAACGCAAAGGAATCATAAAAATTTTAATATAACCGTTCAAAGTCAGATACTTGAACAGGGAAAAAAGTAGCGATAAACAGTCTCTTCACACAAAAAATTCTAATGATAGTCAGATCTGGGCTTATTCGGTTACTTTTAGTTCATTTACTGTTAACGTCTACAATTTGAGACCAATGCGAATGACAGAGGCATGCATACATCTCCTTTTACTAAAGCAAGTGTTTAACAGGTTGCCAATGCTGTCCTTACTTTGTACAAAACTGAAGACTAAAATAGTTTAAAGTTAAAAGGAACTTTTCGATTTTATTGAGATGATGGGGTCAAAGAGCATCATTCACTCCTAAGAAAAACATTTCATGTTTTTGCTTTGTAAAAATACTTATATATAATCAAGAAATAAACCAAAGGGTGCAGATCTGCTGCATATAAATACTTCCACAGCTGATGTGTCATCTCCACTTCATTGTTTTGAATTTTGATAACGTTATCATCATTTCTTTCAAAATGAACCAATTAAAGTCACAAATTATTTTTCTGTTAATCAATTATTGAAATCTTCTCATTGAGCCGAAGGACCAGAGTCCTGTGTTCCAAGTATGGGATGATTCGAACAGGCAAGAACGTGTCAAGAATATAACATCAGCTGGCTATCGAGTTATACTTTCATCATGTTTTCTCATCTCGGCCAAAAATTATGTGGGGCATTGGTACTCATACTACACATGTGATCCAAGAAACTTCTCAGGTAAGATCCTATCACCTATGTGAATCGCGTTTCTATCTTAGGTATTCTGTGTGACTTCTCGCTTCATCTTTGTATCACATTATCGCTATAAATAAAGGTGGACTGCAGTCAGCTTCCTCACTATATTATCTACATCCCTTTAGTTAAAATGCATTGATGAAAGCAAGAATGCAGATCGACGCAATGAATTTCACTCGGTAGTGTCATTTATCGTCAAACTGAGGTGTCTTATTGATTTTAGAGAAGCTCTACTTTCCTGTGTGCTCTGCTGTTTGCTATCAAGAATCGCTAGTCTGACTAACGTCCAAATTTATTAGTTTGCATGGTTTTGGAATGGCTAGTGAACAGACTGTGAACGATAAGGAAATCCATTGAAGACTCAAACTTCTCAGAAGTACACTGATATCGTCTACTCCTCAGTGAAACTACTGCAAATCACTGATGATATTTACAATCTATGCACCCTAATTATCATGAAATCGAGTAGAATGTTGTTGATAAGTGAGTACATCTGCCTGTACGGCCGTCATTCATCAATGTTAACTACTGATATGCAATAAGTTGTATGGCTACTGAAACAAGTTACGTCACCATTTGCTATGCTTTTTGATCCTTGGTGCATTACACACTACACGTTATTCACCTAATAATCGGAAAGTTGATTCATTTGTGATGAGACCTGTCCTCAAGACAAAATTTACACAACAATTGACGTGAATATTTACGTCCCAAATCGAGGTTATGAGAAAAAACAAAGAAATAGCTTTACCTTGAGGAACTCAACAACCAATCAAAGCAGACTTAGCTTGAGCGGATTATATTCGCACGTATATGATTCAACTGTATAAGAAACGCCACCAAGAGATAACAGAATAACCTTCAACAAGAAAACAACCAATCAGGAGACGTTGCTTTCTCTGCTAACAATAACGCTAATCATAATGCACATAAAAATCAATAAATATCTGTTTATTTTCTCAATATATGATCTGTTGACTGGGCCTTGTCTTCTGTCGTTATCAGTTGACTAGGTCACTCATTTGCTAATAGCCAGTGTCACCTACTTATTCCTACCATAACAAAGAGCTATGTGGTATCTTTCTGCAATTCACGATATATTTATTCAAACATTTACCTTATTCTCTCGATTTATATTTATGAGAAATAGGCTTGTTTCACAATGAACTCGAAAATTATGACCACAAACTAATCCTCCACATTTCCTTGACTTTTCAAGAATCAGAGCAAGGAAAGCAATTGGTTATTGGTGGTGAAGCTGTTCTCACTGGCGATTTTGTGGATGGAACGATTCTCTTCACGCGTTCATGGTGAGTTGTGTATTGTGCACATTTCCAGATACAGGTAAATTCACCATTCATGTACACGTTTTATGATGAATGCATTTATTTTCTCATTCGTGTTAAATACTGCTAACTGAATGAAATAAGTAGTTCGGTACACACCTGACTACCTTAAGATTGACTTTGTTATTATGGATATTTGGAAACGTCATTTGAAACTCGTGGGTTAGCGGAATAGCGATAGAATTCTCGCTGACCACACAGATTGTCCGGGTCTCGATCCCATGCCGACGCACTCCTTTACCTTGATAGGCTAAAAGTGATATTGGTAAAGGAAGAAGTTTGAGCATGAGGTTGCTAGCAAACAAATTCTGTAAAAATGATCATCACTGCTTCATAGACTTTAAGTCCTTAGCTTGAAACCCTATGCTCCACTGGGAACGTAATCTGAAACTTACTTAACCGAAGTTATCCGATTACTGCAAATCGCTTCAATTATAGTGAATTATAGTTTATTCGACCGACTTGAGAGGCTATTGACAAGAATGGAGTGTGTCAGTGGCACTGTGGTTAGGACTCTCGTCGACCATGCACATGGTCTGGGGTTCGATCCCTTGCCGACGCACACCTGATATCAACGGTCGGCCTGCAAAATTTAGGCTACCGATATTACATGCTGAAAATTCCATGTTTGAACCAAGCTGTATTTAAAAAAATAAATAAATGAGTGTCTCGATGTCATACTGACATAACAAATAAAGTCGATATCAAATAGCTTCAAATTCTTATCAACAAAGGTGGTATATCTTGCATTCTTTATTATCCGTTTAGTATATGTCAAAGTTCATTGAAAGTTGTTGACCAATAGAAATCTTTCTTCTTCACAACTTCGATAAAATTAACACATAAATGCTGAGCAGTATCCGCAGCAGCAGCTGAAGTTGACCTGTACACTTCTCATCCACATAATCGAAAGTTACTCAGGCATATTTTGTATTCTTTTATTTTCCTAGTGCAGCATAGAGCTTTCTGTAGCCTCATACCTAACCTTCTCGCTTTGCCAGTCCTACTAATGACTTGGCAACGTAAAGGAGTGCGTCAACCGAGTATTGATCTCCGGACCACCTTTCGTGATTGGTAATAACTCTATCTATGGGCTGCTGATGCACGACTCAGTCATATGAAAAGGGATAATTAACGAAATCAGAGCTCCGTATTCCATGAACTATACACAATCTTCTTATTTCATTCATTCGTTCTCAAATAGGCCTGATGGTGCATCTCTAGCTGAACGTCTTTGGTCACAAGGGGAATTCGACATTGAGGAATTTATACCACGATTAAATGAACTGCGTTGCCGCATGTTAGAGTAAGTTCATGTTCTATTGTGATGATGAAGGTATCCTCACATTTGTATTTCCTTTATAATTTATGGTTATTGAATGTCAACATTTTCGTGGAAATTCAAACCCTCCTGTTTCCGTAGTGAATATCAACAGACTAGATAAAAAGTAGTCGACATTAGAATAAACATCATAATACCTGGAATTCATCTTCTTCACTCGACGATGGGATGGAAATAATTAATTACGAAGATCTTATACCTATTTATTCAACCGATCATCCACTCTGAGCAATCGGTTTCAAAAGCTGAATAGTCATCTGAAAGTGAGAAAATCATGATTAATTATTGGCGCTTAACCTCATTAATTGTCTGGATTTTGATACTTACTATGTAACAACAGAAGACAAGGGCCAGGCAACAGATCGTTTTATTATAAAAATCAACGCGTATTTATATATATTTCACATACATTATTATAGCTTATGCAAGTAGAAAAGGCGCAGTCATCTGATTGTTTGCAGACAAACGCAGGCTTCTGATTGGTTGTTTCGGGATTCTTTGACAAATAGAGTTCTCTATCTGCGAATCATATTTTGCCACGTTAACTTTGCTGTGATTGGTTGTTGAATCAGCCTTGTTCATATTTTCTCACGGCCCATATTAGTGACCTAGACATTAACATAGATTAGTGTCAACCAATCGGCTAGCAGCCTGCTCTCACCACATTTGGTCGTTGAATCAGCCTTGTTCATATTTTCTCACGGCCCATATTAGTGACCTAGACATTAACGTAGATTAGTGTCAACCAATCGGCTAGCAGCCTGCTCTCACCACAACTATACTTCATATGTACGTCGGTGGCATAGCAGTAGAGTGCTCTCTCATGTTGTTTGGTGTTCTTTCCTCAGCCACCGGCGCACTCATTTGCCTCATTATGCCTGTAGGAAGACTGGTAAAGAGGGAAGGTTGGACATGAAGCGGATAGCGAACCCATCCTGTAAAAATAATCACCACTTCTACAGAAACTTCAAGCTTATAGCTGGAAGCCCTATGCTCCACTGAGAACGGAAAATAATTAAGAAATACTTCATATAGAAAGCAAATATTAAGGGATAATACGCCCACAATATTCGACTCATATCGCCTACTTCATTTTCTTATCCTGAGAAATTCAAACATGATGAATATGGAGAATTTGACTAGAGTCCGAAGTAATTAGGAGGTCGAATCTTTTTTCATATCGATTCGGAAATCGTTTTTTATCTTTTTTGATTTTCACAGTTTTGGGTTAAATGCAAAACCACTGAACGAACCGAACAATTGTTTGCAACTATTAAATTTGCATTTGGATTAACTGGATTTCGAAAAACAAATTCACTATCTATGGTTATCAATCTTTGATGGATTATAATATATAATTTCCATATATATATATATATATATATATATATATATATATATATATATTGTGACCTTTTGACTGATAATCGGTACAGAATCGATTCGGTTCCACAACATTTTGTCACCGAACGATTACACCCTGTGATGAATCATTTGAAATGTAAATTGTGCTACTCCAGTGTTTTCAGTAATTACGAAAGCGTGAACTGCCAGGCATTCAAAACTTTTTGGCGAACACAGTCAACGTGGATCCTTTTGCAAACTACCAGTAGTGTTGTCAGCGTAGAATCTTTTGTTAGCATACAGATATTTTTTCCACCCTGCTAACATGATCATTACTGGTCTGGTCTGTATATTACGCAAATGGGATACAATGGGAAACTTAGAAATTCGGTAGTTCCTTTGATTAGTAATTCATCAGGTCTGTGGGAAGTTATGAGGATAAAATGTCATTAAATATAATAAGAAGGATAATAAAGAACGGATGGATGACAAACACATACAGGAGGATGACAGAACTAAGAATATGGTATTCAAGACGTCAATAATATTTTTTGAGTTAGACCATGCATTGATATCAGTTAGAGTAACGGACAGCTGTTTCATCCTAGTCTGGGAGTCATCGGTAGTACGCATCCATTGGTTTTCGAATCCAGGACTTTTTTGCTACAAGGCAAGCTCGTAGACCATTCAGACACTGAATTTCAACTTGCTAGTGACTTGCTACAGCACTGAGTATTATCGAGTTCTAGTGAAAATTCGTGTTCAGTAATCTCCATTTAGCCGGAAGTAAGGATGTAGTTCCCACCGATGACATTGATTGGTGATCACGGTGAAAATTTCGAATGTGTAGAAGTTGGAATCCATGGGTTGGTCCGTGAGTTGCATTCCAGTGGCTGAATGGTATACGAGCTAGCTTGTCTTGTAACCAGGAGGCCCTGGGTTCGAACCGTCATGGTGGGTGCGAACTGTCAATGATTCCAAAACTAGGATGCAACAGCTATCCAGTATCCCCTGGTTTCCAGTGGTTCTCTGATTGACATCAACCCTGGTTTAACGTGGGAAACAAATGAAATCCATAAAATTCAAGTCTTGAAAATCAATAACGCTGCCACACACAGTGAAAACGTATGAAACCTCCTGTAGAGTGCTTAGGAAAGCCGGAATGAAAGTGGTGTTCCAATTAAATTATCCCCTTGAAGTGCATTCAATAAAATAAGATATTTTATCCAATAGCTTGCAATTATTGTAAGTTTACATACATTTAATCTAATGTTGAGCAATGATTGTAAGCTCAAGAGGGCTGAAGATACGAAGGATGTTGAGATGGTTGCTCTACAATTAGATTCGGATATTTCGGTTAATTGGTGTATGCATTGATTTGTAGAAATAAATGTATGCCATTGTACTTACAAATATCGTTCACAACAACAGCGCACTTGCTGACTCAATGTCTTTACCTAATCAGTATTTATTTATTTATTTTTTTTTGATTTACAGCTTGATTCCACACTGTATTTTTGGTACAAGTATGGAATTTTCAGCAAGGATATCGGTAGCCCAAATTTTGCAGGCCGACCATAGATATCTGGTGTGCGCCGGCGTGGTCTCGAACCCCGAACCATGTGCATGGTTGGCGAGAGTCCTAACCACTGTGCCACCGTGAATACGAATGATATAGGAGGGATTATTAACCATAATACCCGGAGTGGGCAGTAAATTGAAGAGCGTTGTCTGTGAAAGATTTCCGAATACTATTCGTACATGTCTCTTTCAAGATTTCATATAAAATAGAAGATGGGAAATCGTGTAACCAAATGAAGATGTCAGTAGTGTGAAATCAAGATGTGCTGTTTAATCCGGATGTTCCATTCTGAAACCATAGCGAATATGAATCATACGCCCAATTAATCCGCTTAGAGTTTTGCAGTTCTAAGTTGATACACGTTTCAACTCGAATTCATCTCTGTACACTATTTATCAATAGTAGCGTGAAATTTTAATTTATCAGTCTTTGTTCTGTTGACGAACTATATTTTCATCATCCTTAGTTGATAAACAACTACGTGTGTTTGAAACACTACGCGTTGTCTTCTTATGCCCAATTTTATTAAAAATCAGGTCAAAGTTTCAAATTTGTTAAAGAATGAAAATACTCGAAGTGTTTCTAGTAATTATGACAAATGAGTACAAAGATGACATGTGGTGCACAATGGTGATCAAATATCGAAATTATGCTTCGAACAGAATCGAAGTATAGGAGTTTTATATGAGTCGAGCCATAGCTGACCATAGAGAGTCTTTTGGGTAATATTGTGGTGAGAGCAGGCCGTGAGAAAATATGAGCAAGGCTGATTCAACAACCAATCACAGTAAAGTTAACGTGGCAAAATATGATTCGCAGATAGAGAACTCTATTTGTCGAGGAATCCCGAAACAACCAATCAGAAGCCTGCGTTTGTCTGCCTAACTTCTGATAAACAACCGATCAGATAACTGCGCCTGTCTATAATAATGTATGTGAAATATGTATAAATACGTGTTGATTTTCATAATAAAACGATCTGTTGCCTGGCCCTTGTCTTCTGTTGTTACAATATGACTTAATGTGCGTGTGGCAATGGTAAAACAATACGATGGTGGATATCTGTAATCTGTTATTCTATGTTACTGTAAGTGAAACTAGAACGTGTTCAAAATGCCATCCAGTGAATAACATTGTGTCATTAATCAACATACATATAGTAAGTAAAATGTAATTACCTCCTACCTCAGTCCGACTTTTCTGCTTAGATTTGACCTCACAGTAACAGGAGTTTATTCACTATGTTCGTCTCATCCGTTCTGACTTCGCTTTCCACGTTTGTTGTTCACGAAAGTTCCATGTGGTATACACAGTTATGCTTCTCAATTGTTTAGTGGTGAGTATCTCCGCCTGTCTCCTGGAAAGCCTGGGTTTGATTCCCGGCCAGCTTTCTGTCGGCGGCACAGAGGTAGAGTGTTCGCCAACCAGGAAAGGTGGTCCGGGTATCGATCCCAGTTCGGCCGGTATTCATATCACCCATGAAGATTTAGATATCCCCATTTGGTATGTGGTGCATTACTGTTTGAAGTTGCCTTTAAAAATCCTCCTTCTTTTCTTGTTAGGCATTTTTTGTGGCACAACTCCTCATTCTTATTCTTGCTTTCATCGAGAGAGAGAAGGCACATTGGCTGGCTGACTGGTTACCTGAAGGCGTGAATTAAACAGCCTTCGTCATTTCGCCTCTCCGATTCGAGAGAGGAGTACGATTTTGGTTTGAATGTTTTTGTATTTTTAATGTTTCTTTTGTATGTTGAAGTTTCTCTAACGGTTTAAGAGGTTTAGTGATGTAGGGCTGCTAGCCCTGCGCCCAAACCTGCTTCTTTACTCCGACTTGGGAGCGGCTGGAAGACCAGCATGCTAGTTAATTAGGCAAGTTTATAATGATAGAAAGTTAGACTGATTTCGACTTTGACACTTTCCGAAACGAATTAAACGAGACAGTCCATGTCCTTGCACTTTTTCAATTCTTACGAGCTGATTAATTAGCCTTTCAGAGAATTTATAACTATTATCTATAACCGCTGTTGTTCTACTTGAGTTAAACTATCACTTCAACTTATGATCACCATTATGTACTATATGTCACCTTTGTACTCCTTTGTCATAACTACTGGAAAGATTCAACGAATTCTCTCTCATACAGTTGAAAATTTTAAACCTTTGAACCATCTTCACAAAATGGTTTTTAGAAGGATATTTTACTATAGTGCCTCATAAATATGAAATGGTTTTTCTATTTATTTATTAAATTTTTGATTACAGCATAATTCGATTTTCAAGATCATCCGAAACTAGTTGATTTTCAGTGAAATGTAAATTGAACAGTTGTCAGCTAAGTGTCTTTTTTCTTGAAAAAAATTTATCATCAAGTTGTTGAACTGGGGCTATACGAAGCATAATAATTGAATATTTAGTGGAAACTGGTCGCCCTATATCATGCCCCCACCATAAACTACAAAGAGAAAAGTAAAATAAAGTAAAAAAATAAAGCATCTGACTCAAGTGTCCTGCTGAAACTTTGACTGTCGAGAGAGAAAGGATATGGTGCAATTATTAGGATTCTGATTATAATACTGTAGTACTATCCGCTATCTTCACTATTTACTATGTGCTAACGCTGTACACTGTCGAACGTGAACATCGTTGTATTAAGAATCACAAGTGAAAACTTCAATGACCTATTTTCATTGAAATCTGATATGTATCCATATATATATATATTAATATATATATATATGTGTATGGTGGTCTCTCTGTTGCTCTCTTAGTCTGTGACCATTTCACTTTGATGAACCTGTCTCCTTTATCAATGTATATTCCCCTTATATTATATCTAATATATGTGTTTGTTGACAGTCTGATATATTTTACTATGTATATATGGATCGATACTCCATTATAATTAGCCAATCATGTTAAGACTGTCTATTGATTTGTTCACACACATGTTCAGACATTCATATATATTTTTGCTCTCACACTCTTGTGGGATATATTGATTCTCCTTGTGTTTTGGAATATAGAAGTATCATCGCAAACCTAGTGGTCTTCTGATTTCCGTCTTTCTTGCGTCGGGACTATTAAATTCTCGACCAGTACATAACAATAATTTGGCGACGAGTACATAATAAAATCGAATTTCAAAAAGTGCAGGGAGTACGCAGAAGGGCACAACTACCTAACATTTATATATAACAAACGAATAACAGTGGTCATAAACGGCATATATTCAACAAGCTTGTGTAAAATTAGTTTCTCTAAGCGTGTAAAACATGCCCACATGAGTCACTTTGATAAGCGTATAGTCAAGCTTAAAAAATAGAGAGGCTACATGGCCGTGTCGTTGTATACAGAAAAGTATATTCAGTCTCTCCAACTCTCGTTCTATTTATTTGTCTATGCTATAGTAAGATTATCCTCATTCCTATTTTTTGACCCTACTAAATTTGAGGTTTGTTTATTCAATTTATACATAACTGCCTTATTATGTTTATTTGTTATTATTAATTTCCATTTCAACAGGTACCGGTATTACCTCACCTGTCATCCTTGTCAATTTAATTCCAAATATAAATCGGTGTCTCTTAACGTTGTCTCATTAAAACTGTCTCTACATTGCGTAATATTTTAATTGCTTACTAGTCGGATTGTTTCTCCATCCACTTGAGATTTTTAATGATAACAATAATAATAATAATAATAACTTTCGATAGAGAAAGAAAGACCAGATTTACAGTATAAAATGATATCATGAGTCTATTTCACAGCTTCTCGTCAGCTGCACACCGCTATCTGAAATTACAATGGTTATAAGTAATAACATATCATGCTTCAATGTTTGAAAGGTAATAGAGAAGACATTATAAGACGAACGCATCCGAAATATAAGTATTACTGTGGTGAGAGCAGGCCGTGAGAAAATATGAGCAAGGCTGATTCAACAGCCAATCACAGCAAAGTTAACGTGGCAAAATATGATTCGCAGATAGAGAACTCTATTTGTCGAGGAATCCCGAAACAACCAATCAGAAGCCTGCGTTTGTCTGCCTAACTTTTGATCAACAACCAATCAGATGACTGCGCTAGTCTACTTGCATAAGCTATAATTATGTATGTGAAATATGTATAAATACGTGTTGATTTTCATAATAAAACGATCTGTTGCCTGGCCCTTGTCTTCTGTTGTTACATTTGGTGTCGCTGCCTACCGACAAATGGAAAGCCTATGCCCTGCTGTTTTTGATGGAGACATATGGATCTTCGGGCAGGACTTCAAGGCTTCTGCGCAGTTGAGTGGCGTTCAAGATCTGTCAGCGATGGAGCTGCTACTTGGGACGCTGCTGGGAGGTCGGGTGAAAGCAGCATATGAAAGTGAGAGATTTACTACGCCCTCATTCTGTGTGCATAAATTTGGTCTGGAACATTTGATTGCAATTGCTTCAGGAAATCGCTGTCCTTGACAAAATGATCCCTATCCACAAGATATCTAGTAATTTCTCTTTGTAAATATCTGCTTCCTCTAAAGCATAATTTTCTTGGAATATCCTTTGAAAACCGGATGGAAGCCTTTCTTTCTCTACTTCCAATGTACTGATATTTTGTTTTTGATTTACAGCTTGATTCCACACCGTATTTTTGGTACAAGTATGGAATTTTCAGCATGGATATAGGTAGCCCAAATTTTGCAGGCCGACCATAGATATCAGATGTGCGCTGGCGTGGTCTCGAACCCCGGACCATGTGGATGGTTGGCGAGAGTCCCAACCACTGCGCCACCGACGCAGGATGAGTTCATCCTGCAATGTTTTCTTTAATACCTTTCAAACATTGAAGTATGAAATGTTATTATTATTTATAATCATTGTAATTTCAGTTAGTTTGCATTTAGCTGATGAGAAGCTGTCAAATAGACTCATGATATCATTTTATACTGCAAATCTGGTCTTTCTTCCCCTATCGAAATGTATCAAGGGACTCAAATGTATGAAATAACAGCTTTATTTCTGAAACACTCTCAATATAATATATAGAATTCTCAGCAAAGTTTATTGCGTGATATTTTCTCTTAGTCCAGGATTTTCAAAGAGAATATTGATTGACTGTAGATTGTGTGACACAGTTCTGTCTGACCTGAAGTACGAATTAATTCATCGTGATATCCCTTCTTTTTGGTTCAGTTCCAATTGTAAGACGTCAAAGGGTACATTTCGTGAACCAAGGACACTGCAAATAAACAGTACTAGGATTAGCTTTTATGTGAAGTTTAGTAAGGACGTGTGAATCACTACGTTGTCCATGTTTTAAACACTCACCAAAGTAAATGACACTGTTAGAGGTCATATTTTAGGAGATTTAAACAAATCTAGTAAGAGAAAATACATATATAATATATTGATGGTTTGTTACTTTTTGCCTGCAAGTATTCGAGTTTGTCTGACATTAAACATAAACCATCCACAAGTGAAATCCAAGTATTCTAGAGTGTTGTTATCGTTCCTGTGTATTTCTGTTTCCTTGCTCCTCACAGAGAGTTTTCCGCACAATATTATCGGTGATAACAGCGGGCAGCTTTGCCTTACTCCTGTATGCACTTCGAACGCCTCATTGAGTTTTCCGTTGTAAATCACCTGACATGTATCACTGCCATACCGCCAGCTGTTAAATAAAGTTGACAAAGACTTGGGGCACTACACACCACATTGTTGAGTTAGTTTCTGAATCACTTCTTGGTCAAGCTTTCTGTCGAATGCCTATTCTGAGTCGATGAAGGTTAGGTGAACGTCTGAATACTATTCTATGTTTTGCTCGATGACGATGCGTAGGGGTGCAATTTTATCAGCACATGATGTATCTTCCCTGAATCCAGCTTGTTCTGGCTGATGCGGCGTAGTTCTGTATCCAGTGCATCTACTATTCTCTCAAGGATGATGACACTTAGTATTTTACGTGCCGTGGATGACAGTATTACTCCACCCCAGTTCTTATAAGGGAATATGTCGTCCTTCTTTGGCAGCTTGACAAGATAACCAGTCTTTCTTCCAATCAGTAGCCACCTTTTCTTCCTTCCAAACATTTTGTAATAGTGGCTTCAGCAGAATTACAGAAACAAGATGTTAAATATTTACGAATCCATAGATGGATTAGCTTAATTGTATACCCCATGTAACTTGAATCAGGTGAAAAATTGCAATGGTAAATGTCTGAGGTGGAGTAAAGATTGGGTAAGAATTTCATTTATAATCGTGAATACTGAACGTCTCTTTAAACCCTTATTGGTGAATGATTACAGCTAAAACACCTTTTAGATTTAGATTACCATTCAGTCTACTGATTCGCCTAAAGTGTACAGAATGTCTATGCTTCAATTCTATACAGGTGACCATGACCACTGTACATCACCAACTCACTGATTTCCTTCAATTGCTACTATCATTAGTTTCAAAAATACCAGTTCGTTGTGCAAAATGGCGACATTTTTCAGAGCCAAAAAGAATGGCATCATATAGCACTGTCGATTATTGTAAATTTCACATATTTCTTAGATTACAAAGTCACATATACTCTAGTGATTTCCATTGTTTTTAAAGTAGGTTCTGTCGTTCAAGAGACTTTGAATAAATCAGGAACAATAGTGGTTTTTACAGAATAAAATGGTACCATCATCGTGTGTTCCACTGGCTTCTCATCAGCTCAGCTGCTTACAGGCCAAAGTCATTATTAAGTATATCTACAGAAACAATTTTAACATACTTGCACAGACAGTTCATTTTTAAACAAAAATCAATCAATCACTATATGCATACAGTAATAATATATGCGCTAATAATAAAGACTTTATCCCAAACAATAATGATAATACAGAATGGAAACTTTCAACATAACGTGATCAGAAGAAAGTGAGGGTCAAAATATCCACTTACCAGGGCAAGGAAAGATCAATAACTGTTTCCTTCTGAACGCACAAATCAGGTTTCAGGCTCTTGATCCAGATCACTTCCGCAAAAGTAAGTAGAATTGAGTTCTTTTGTCTATCGATTATTTTGAACGACCATGCGACGTCCACCTAATAACGCGTATCGAGAAGATGTCTGATAGCGCTATTATAAGAGTTTGTTCACTTGAGATGTAGGCCTTTTGGTATATGTTCAGAAAATCGGAGCTGTGCCCTTCTTTCTGTTCTTCCAATGTAACTGCTCTCATAGTTACACGTAAATTTGAATATACAGTTGGAATTAACATAAGAAGGATATTTTTCGATTTTTGCTCGATAGACAGGAACGACCTTAGCTGCAGGATAGG